TCATAGAAGAAGGATAGACTACTTGTCGGGTACTCCATCTGCAACATCATTCGCGAGAGCCGTCCCTAGAGCCGGTCTCCACACCACGCTGGCCGGGTGCGCGAGGCAGTAGGGCCAGCGCGCGCTTCTTGACGTTCGCGCCACGGAGTGTGCCGATACGTCCCGACACGACAGGTCACCGCGACTATAAATAGAGAGGTAGCGGAGTAATCGTCGGATTCACTCCCCGCCTCTCGACGCGTTAGTGTTCTGAGCTGTTGGACGTGAATCCCTGTCCTGGCATTTGGTTTTCACCTCTGGCTGCGTTAAGTAGTTGAGTTACTGTGACCAAATGCCCATCTTGGTAGTTAGTATTCGCCTCTGGTTGCGTTGAGTAACTGAGTTACCGTTGCTAACTACCCATCTTCCTGTCTTTTGATTTCTTTTTCTTTGTTCTCCTGAAGAAGCTACATACAATTGTAGCGAAACGTCGAGATGAACCCATTTTTGGGTCACTCACAAATGACACGGTCCAAACCCGGAAGAAGAAAAAATATTGCAAAAATAAAGGAATATAATAGTAGTATATATAGGGTAAAGTGGGGGCATACCGGTTGCTTTAAAATTCATGTATTGTCCTGCTCTGCATTACTGCAAATGGAATGTTGGTTGCCTACAACATATTTGCCTACCCTCATTGCAGTGAAGTTATTTTATCCATGGTTGTGTTAAGTTGTATGCTAAAACGTTTTTTTGGAGATTCTATAGTATCAGTGCAAAGTATTTTATATTAAACCCCGATTAGAACGATTTTGTTAACCAGTTAATTTTAATCAGCCAAAAGTAGTATAATTAACTGGGAGCACAGAAGGTGCCTCCACGCAAGTGATATTATAAGAACATAATGTCACTGGCGCTCCCTGGAAACGCCCCTCGGGCGGCCAATCTTTCCACCACTGGATCCGAACAAACAAACGAGAATCAACGGCTCTTCTCAGAGCCTACATTGACAATGATGACCATAAACATTGAGGGTATTACTTGTAATAAACAGGAAATTTTGTCTGAACTGTGTAAAATCCACAAGTGTGATATATTATGCATACAAGAGACTCACCGTGACATATCAGCACATAGACCTAGCGTTGAGGGAATGCAGCTTATCATTGAACATCCAAGTGCAAAACATGGAAGCGCCATCTTCGTGAGAAGAGATATTGATGTAACATCAGCTGAAAAAACATGCTACAACGACATTGAAATCCTGACCGTCGAAATAGGAGCCTGCACAGTGACATCTGTGTATAAACCACCCTGGAGAGACTTTGTTTTCTCCCCTCCAAAAAATTTCGCTTCTCAAAAAACCAGATTCATTCTCGGTGATTTTAATAGTCATAATGTTCATTGGGGCTACGCTTCAACTGATAAAAATGGAGATCTTGTGGAATCGTGGGCTGAACAAAACAACCTGGCACTTCTACATGACCCAAAACTGCCCTATTCGTTCCAAAGCAAAATATGGAAGAAAGGTTACAACCCTGATCTCACCTTCATCAGCATGTCTTTAGAGGACCGTTGCGTTAGGAAGGTATATAAGCCTATACCGAAGACGCAACATAGGCCCGTGGGAATAACCGTATACAGCGCTATAAAAGCTCCCAAAATCCCTTTCAAACGAAGGTTTAATTTCAAAAAAGCGAACTGGGAAAAATTTACTGATGAATTGGAAACACAGGTGAAAAATATAGTCCCGATCCCCAAAAACTATGATGCGTTCATCAAACTTATAAAACGAATCTCATGTAAACACATACCCAGAGGATGTCAACAACATTACATATCTGGTCTGAACGATGAAGCAAAAGACATTATGACAAAGTACACCGAAGAATATAGTAAAGACCCATTTAGCGAAGTTACGGCAGAGATAGGGGAGAGACTGCAGCAAATACTAAGTGCCTCCAGACAACAACGGTGGAGCGAGACTTTAAGTAAAATGGATATGACGCACAGTAGTAAGCAGGCTTGGAATATGATCAAAAAACTTAATGGTGATCCCACAGAGATAAAAGAGCTATGTGCAATAACGCCAAATCAGATAGCCCACCAACTGCTTCTGAATGGCAAAACAAACAATCGTTGCAAAACGCCAAATATTATAAGAACTCAAGACCAGGAAACAACTCTCTTACGAAACCCATTTACCATCGAAGAGCTCAAAAATGGTATTGACTGTATGAAAAATGGAAAATCACCTGGGGTGGATGAAATCCTAACAGAGCAGATAAAACATCTCGGGCAAAAAGCGAGACAATGGGTGCTCGATCTATTTAACATCTGTCGCTCTACCTACCAGATTCCAAAACTGTGGCGCAAATCAAAAGTAATAGCCCTTCTGAAACCTGGCAAAGACCCTGAACTACCGAGTAGCTACCGTCCGATATCTCTGCTATGCCATTTGTATAAATTGTATGAACGCCTCATTTTGAACCGCATCCAGGAAACATTAGATGCAAAACTAATCCCACAACAAGCAGGCTTTAGACCAGGTAAATCATGCACAGGCCAAGTGCTGAACCTAACAGAATACATAGAGGAGGGATTTGAGCAGAAAGAGATAGTAGGAGTAGCCTTGATAGACCTCACAGCGGCCTATGATACGATAAACCACAGAACCTTGCTAACTAAGATCTATAACACTGTGCTTGACTATGACCTGGTAAATATCATTAGATCACTGTTGTGTAATAGACGCTTCTACGTTGTGCTAAATGGAAAGAAGAGTAGATGGAGAACCCAAAAAAATGGCCTACCTCAAGGAAGCGTTCTGGCGCCGTCCTTATTTAACATCTACACCAACGACCAACCAATGCACCCTCAGACTGAGAGTTTTGTTTACGCTGACGACCTTGGTATAGCCGTAAAGGGGAAAACACTCACACAAGTAGAGTCGACAATGGAAGATGCTTTAAACATGATGTCAACTTACTACAAACAAAACTCATTAAAGCCAAACCCTACTAAAACCCAAGTATGTGCATTCCATCTCAACAACCAACTGGCGCATGTAAAACTGAATGTTTCTTGGGAGGGACAACGCTTGAAACATACTGATAGGCCCAAATATCTTGGAGTGATACTAGACCGGTCACTAACGTATAAATTCCACTGTCAGAGCACAAGACAAAAGGTCTCTACGAGAAACCACCTTCTCCGGAAACTTGTAGGGAGCAAGTGGGGCGCAAACCCCATCGAGCAAAAAGACAATAGAGGGAATGTAAAGGTAGTGGGGGCAAACATATTGTTAGACAGGAAGTGCGATCACGTTTTTCCTATTTTTTTCCGAGAAGGAACAAGAGGTACTGGAAGCCAAGAGAAAATATAAGTATAACCTAAGCTGATTTATTATTTTTATAAAAAGGCACCCTGAGATTTTTTTTTTTTTATGTATGATTTGCGACACTTACATAATTAATTAAATAAGTGTAAATTAATTACATAATTAAATAAATAAAAAATAAGAAAAAGCAGATCATAGTTATATATATATATATATATATATATATATATATATATATATATATATATATATATATAATATATATATATATATATATTATTGTGATATTTCAAGTCTTGGTGCGCCAAGCAATTAATTAGCTAATTAATTAATTAATTAATTAAAATTATTTAAATGATATGATTATGACTCTATCACACTTTTTAATTCTCTTATCTCAGGGTTAAATTCGTGCTTCAATATCTATGCTATTACATGTGGAAGGTAAGGTCCAAAGAATACCGGAATAATAAAAAAAAACATATAGGATCTAACGTTATATATTGAAATAAAATAATGAAATAAAATTCACACTCAAATGTTTTCGATAAACAAAATCTCATATAATGATTCTCAAAATTTTGTTCTACGTACGTGAACCTTCAAAATTAATGGTACAAACAATATTAGTTGAAATCTCAAAATCCAAATATTATTCTAAATCTCCTAATCAAAATATTTATATCCTTTCTAAATTAAGTGTAAAAATTGTGTTATCAATGAAAGAAAAACTGCAGAAAACAAAACTATCTCTCTCTGATGATGAGTGGTCCAAATCCTTGTTATTTGTAGACTATACTATTTACTCGTGGCCGCTCCCTAGGTAATCAGCAATCTTACAACAAATTATTGCAAGTATATCGTCCTTAATGATCTCCTTCAAATGCACGAATCGTTCAAATTATGCTAGCTTCTTCTTCTCTCAATAAACTGAATCTCTCGTTGGCCTGAGTGAAAAATGACTCTTGGAATATCTTTTCTTTACGATAAACTGAATCTCTCGTTGGCCTGAACAGTGACTCTTGGAATATAAGTAGAAAAATATGACTTACAATATTTTACTGGATCAGCTTCTGTCAGATACACTAACTACACGAAAACTCACAAACTTTCACTGCTACTGCTTCCTACCTCTGGGAAACTACCCGAGAACAACGGCCGTTCGCCTTGCACCCTTGGAAACCAACTGATTATCTTTTCTCTCTCAAAAATCTAGCTAAACTTTCATTCCTACATACCTATCCCACCTTTTTCAATCTCCGCCAATCAAAGCTCGTCACAATTCTCCCATTTTTTCATTTCGATAACAAACAAATTTTTACCTATAATTATAAAATTTCCTAAAACTTATTTACAAATAATATTTTTCTACGATTCTTAAAAACTAACAAAAACCTCTTTATAAAATCTATTCTATTGTCCTTAATCACTGCATTAATGTATTTGGAAAACCCGGTTCAATTGTCTTTGGATTTCACTTAAAATTATGCGGGTCACTCAAGTATAGTATAACAAAGAAATAATTTATGCATAGCTTACATTTTGTTTAATACAGGTAATCCAAAAATTTAAAGACTTTCCTTCTTCGAAATGTTTGTTGGGTATTATCCTACTTATCTGAATTATTTTAATGTTTTTGAACTTTGAAATATTTTAAACAAACCAATATTTTTCTCGATTTTACATATAACAATATATATATATATATATATATATATATATATATATATATATATATATATATATATATATATATATTCTATGACTCTGCTTCTGCAATAATTTTTCTGTTTCAATAAAATGTTTATAGTTGGTTTGTATTCCAGGTTGTCCCCTAGAGGAGAACAAAGTGAAAATTATGGAAATGTTACTTTCATCTCCTAAAGGAAAATATACAGTTCAACATGCTGAAGGAAAAGTATTATTAAATAAAAATATAAAAGTTGGGACTGGCCAAAGACCTTACAAATGTGAAAGCAGTTTCAAGCAGTTTTCTCAAACACACTTGTTGATACATACTGGAGAAAAATCTTGCAATCATATTCGTGAGAAACTTCACAAGTGCGAAACTTGTTTAAAGCAGTTTATTACTAAATATGAGTTGAAAAGCCATTTGAGATGGCACACTGGAGAAAAACCGTATAAGTGTGAAACTTGTTTAAAGCAGTTTGTTACTAAAAGTAATTTTAATGTACATTTGAGAGTACACACTGGAGAAAAACTGTACAAATGTGAAATTTGTTTACAGCAGTTTAGGACTGCAAGTATTTTGAAAAGACATTTGAGATGGCACACTGGAGAAAAACCATACATGTGTGAAATTTGTTTAAAGCAGTTTATTAATACGAGTGCTTTGAAAATTCATTTGAGAATACACACTGGAGAAAGACCATACAAGTGTGAAATTTGTTTAAAGCAGTTTAGTAATACAAGTGGTTTTAAAACACATTTGAGAGTGCACACTGGAGAAAAACCATATACGTGTGAAATTTGTTTCAAGCAGTGTATCACTGCAAGCGTTTTGAAAAGACATTTGAGGATACACACTGGAGAAAAACCTCACAAGTGTGAAATTTGTTTTAAACAGTTTAGTAAAGCAACTAGTTTGGAAACACATTTGCACGTGCATACTGGAGAACAACCATTCAAGTGTGAAATTTGTTTCAAGCAGCTTTCTGGAGCAAGTCATTTGAAAAGACATTTGAAGTGGCACACTGGAGAACAACTTCACAAGTGTGAATATTGTTTAAAGCAGTTTATTAGTGCAAGTGATTTGAAAAGACATATAAAAATACATACTGGAGAAAAACTTCACAAGTGTGAAACTTGTTTAAAGCAGTTTATTACTACAAGTGATTTGAAAGTACATTTGAGAGTACACACTGGAGAAAAACCATACAAGTGTGAAATTTGTTTAAAGCAGTGTATTACTACAAGTGAGTTGAAAAGACATTCGAGAACACATACTGGAGAAAAACCTCACAAGTGTGAGATTTGTTTTAAACAGTTTAGTGAAGCAGGTACTTTGAAAACACATTTGAGGGTGCACACTGGAGAAAAACCCTACAAGTGTGAAATTTGTTTAAAACAGTTTAGTGATGTAAGTAATTTGAAAACACATTTGAGAGTACACACTGGAAAAGACTACAAAGCTGAAACTTCTTTAGAGCAGTTTACTACTGCAAGTGATTAAAAACACACTTGAGCACGCATTGGAGGAAAATTTCACAAGTTTGAAATTTGTTTTAAACAGTTTATTACTAAAAGTAATTTGAAAACATGTTAGAGTGCACACTGAACATTTACCAGGTCAAGTAAATATGGATGTTGGTGTAGTATTTTACTCTTCGGGGTGTTTGTGGCAGATGAACTCTAGAAGTTTCAAGCTCATAAGCAGTTGTAATATGTAATATAATATAAATGTAAAATAATGATAAATATATAAACAACTGTAAATTGGTTTATTTTAAAATAAATAATAGTTTTTCTAATTTTATCTATACAGGGAATAATAACTTATAATATGTATTAATAGATTTTTTCCCAAATTTATAATTGAACACTGATATAATGAACACTTTTTGAACATGATTTTATTATTAGATATTTTTTAGTAGATCGATATAGTGTTTTAGTCATGGACGTATAAACACAGATGGACTCAGTTATTTACATAAAATTGTGTAGTCAAAATTATTTGAATAGGTCACATTCTCAGCACCTTCAACTGTTGTCACGTTTTGTTTTAAAATTTCTTATTCGCGAGTCGCTGAAAATATTACTCCGTATTTTATACTCTACAGGTGCTATCAAACCAAAATAATAATTTATTGGTTAGATTAATATATTTAATTGTAATCAAAATATCAAGTGTGCACATAGTGTGCATTATCATTTAATAATAGCGTATAATAGATATCAATCAATTATTTTATATGTAGAAGCACTGAAAACTATTTATAAATGGCAACGGTTGTTTACATTTCTCTGTCTTATGGATCTACGTCAAACTTCAAATGCTGTTCCATGTTTGTTTACTTTTTACAGTAGATGAGGAAAAGTTGTTTTTCGATATTTTGGCTGTATTTTGAGTGATATTTGTGAAAAGTGAAATAAAATAAACGAAATATTTACATCCCGATCTCTCATTTCATTTGTAAGTACATACAATTTACATTATTTAAGATGAGGAAATGAGGAAGCGTGTTTGTTTACATTTTAATAGGCGTACCATTGGGTTTATTCATGTTAATTAATGTATTGAATAAGATATGAGTTCATGAAATTAGTAGACATTTTTAAAATGTAAGTAGACATCATCTGATTAAAAAAGATCTGTTTAGTACCTTTTTAATTTAATATTTCTCATGGATACAATAAATAGTGAAATGAATAAAACTCATTTATTTTTCTATGTAGGTTTCCAAATAATATTGACGATCGAACTATTTGGGTAGCAAATTTAGGAGAAAACAAAGATTTTTTATTGCAGCATTATTTTGATACCTATTAAAAAATTAACTTGAATTCAACTATATTTAATTGTATTAATTTTAAAGCAAATAAAATTGTATTTTAATTTTTCTATAAAGACGTGATTTGTTAATAGTTAAACTCTCGTTTTATTTAATTCTTTGAACGTGTTTTTATACATTATTACTACTTTCAATTTTTAAAATCTGAATAATTACCCGCGAGTAAAAATTCAAGCACGCTTATGCTCATTGCGGAAGCATCACATTCTATCGAACCTTCAAAACATTGTGTGTTAAAGGTATCTTATTGCTGTGTCCATCTATGTTTATACGTCCATGGTTTCAGTCAATCAGTAAATTGAAGTTAAAATCTCTAGATTACCGATAAATCAGTAGACCTGGTATTACGTCCCTCAACACATATTCTTATTTTTTTATTTTATATTTAATTCCCACATGTATGTACGTAAACTAATACGGTCCTGTACGCACCGTCCCTATGAGACTTAAAGGAGGCGAAGCTATTTCGGACTACACACATCTAAGTCTTGTATAGATCAGCGCGTTAAACAGTCCAGTTTTTTTGTGTAAAGTCAACCACGCATATTTAAGAAGACTCTGCCCCTTGAGTTCCCTCAGTGCATTGTGGAAGAAGCAGAAGTATTAGTTCAACATCACAGGTACGTAATTTGATTGCATACACACAATATTGATATTGATAAATTTTACATGTAACCTATTTTCATATAAAAATAATACCAGCACCTACATAAACATTTGAACAAGTGTTGGCTCTAATAGTAATTACATTTATACACCTGGTAACTCTGCGAGAGGTAGTAATGGGCAACGTACAGGCACAAAAACGTGGCGGTCACGTCGAAATTGGACTCACTTTGCGAAGGTTTATTAAATGTGCGTTACCTGTCTTCTCACTTTCTTTGTCTAAGGTTACAATTAACTATAGTCTTCGTTGTTATTCGAGGCGATAGCATTAGGTATCGTAATATGAGTTACTACGTTATTCGGCGCTAATTTAAGGTTATTTTCAAAAGTTTAGTTTTGTTATAACTGCCATAATGTGTGCAATAAAAGAAAGGAATAACACCAGCTTTTTATTTTTGAAATATTTAAAAACCTCACGTTAATGTTATTAAATATATGTAATATACGCAAAAATGCAAAATTTTAAAATAAAATGAAAATTTACAACATAATCCGAGTTGTTGGTTTTTTATTTTTATCTTTGTAATTTAAGTTATGTATATTGGCAGTTTTAAATATCTATGAATATTGCATTTTAATTTGTATTGTTTTTTATATTGAATTATGTTGCAGTGTATTGTATTATGATTTTTATATTAATAACAAAATAAACAATGAATTTTACTGCAGAGTATGTGTAAAAAAATTTTTGCATTCAACTCCTTTTATACATATATGAAAATAAAAATATATATTTTCATTAAAATATTGATACAATCCTTCATTTACTATACTCCTATTACAGGTCAAATGTTTATATACAGCAAACGATGCACCATATACCTATATACCTAATTCTTTTTCTCTTTCTGCTCTCTCTTACCTATAGCATTAAATATGTAATGATTGTGCAGATTTACTCCCATATAAATTTGTAACGGCGAACGCGTGTATAGAAGTATAACTTCTACCGGCAGTCCCACTGGACTGCCACACCCATTTATTTTCTTTGGAGATTGTTTATTCCACAGTACCTATACTGTTTAATTGCCTAATGGCTTGTCTTCCCTGGTTGTTTATATATGTTTAATTTCTTCGTCTAATTTGCCATCGTTGGTTATTTGCATGTCTAAATATTTGTATTTCTGACAGTAATTTATTTCTCGCTGTATTTCTTCCGTTTGTATCATTACGGAAACAAACGGAGCCTATTAAAATAAATCGAGGAGTAAGACAAGGAGATACCATTTCGCCCAAGTTATTTAACCAAGCGCTAGAAGATGTTTTTAAACGACTACACTGGGATGACTTGGGAATTAATATAAACGGGCAAAATCTGAATCATTTACGATATGCTGATGATATTGTATTAATAACAGAAAAAAGTGAAGAATTACAAAGAATGATGGAAGAACTAGATAGAGAATCGACAAAAATTGGACTCAAGATGAATTATAGTAAAACAAAAACCATGACTAATCAACCAGAAGAACTTATAATTACAGTGGCACAAACAAAAATAGAACAAGTAAAAGAGTATATATATCTAGGCCAAATCACAAAATTAAATAAAGAAAATCAGACCGAAGAAATAAAGAGAAGAATAAGATTGGCCTGGGCATCATTCGGAAAACTGTCTTATATTCTAAAGAATTCAAAATACCCCCAATACTTAAAAACGAGAGTCTTCAATCAATGTATACTCCCTGTCCTCACATATGGCTCTCAGACATGGACGTTTACAAAGGAAAATATGGAAAAAATAGCAAAGACAGAAAGATCCATGGAAAGACAAATGCTGAACATTAAACTATCAGACAAAAAAAGAAACGAATGGATCCGTAATAAAACAAAAGTGAAAGATGTCTCAACCCAAGTAGCAAAGCTTAAATGGAAGTTCGCCGGACACACCCTAAGGCAGAAAGATGAAAGATGGACTAAAACAATTATACATTGGAGACCATGGAATCACAAACGTAAAAGGGGAAGGCCACAAATGCGATGGTCAGATGACCTGAAGAAACACGCCGGGTCAAAATGGATGCAAATTGCCCAAGATAGAGAGGCATGGAAGAAGGAGGAGGGGCCTATATCCAAGGATGGATGTTAAGGGCTGTATAGATAGAGATAGATAGTATTTCTTTCAAGATTAGATTTTGTTGAATTCCCCCGCCAATACACATGTATTCAGTTTTCTTGATATTTACTTCTAGCCCCCATAGTTCGTGTTTGTATTCTTCGATAAGTTTACGGATCATATATTCGAGGTTTTCATAATCTCGGGCCATCATTATCTGGTCGTCTGCAAAACTCAATGTGTACAATATTGCGTCGTTTAGAGGAATTCCCATGTTTCTGCATTTTCTTTTCCACGGCTTCATCGCTTGCTCCGAGTAGATCTTAAACAAAGTAGGACACACGCAGCATCCTTATTTGAGTCATTTGCTGATAGTGAAACCCTTGGATACCTCCTGACCTTTCTTTATTTTACTTGTGTTGTTCTTGTAGAGGTCAAGACTCAATCATGAGTCTATAGAAACACTGCACTATCTCCTACAGAGGGTGGAGTATGTTCTGGAAAACCAAGCGGTGATGTTGGGTCGATTTCTCGATATGGAAGGAGCATTCTACAACTACGAAGCAATCACACGGCGATTCGTCTAAAAGAAATAGACGAAAAAAGCTGCATATGGATACCTACACAGCATGCTGAGGAAACGTGTGATATACACAATGTTACTAGGCGATACAGTCTCATCACAAACATGTGGGAGTTTTATCTTCTCTCTTGTAGAATCAAGTCATTGATGTTTTGATAATTAACGATGTCAAACGAAAGAGGCGGCACGGTGCGGTAAAAATTTGAACTCATTTGAACTAGTGCACGTAGGATAACAAAACATTTTGTATTTAGTCATACACACATAACCATATTGTTCTGAAGCTATTTTCTTGTGGCATTGTAAATTAATTACTATTAAACTGGGAATAAGCCACAATTAAAGATAAAAATACGTTTATTGACGTTTCAATTTCCACTTCGGAAATCGTTCTCAAAATACAAACAGTAAATTAAACAAATTTTGTTTAAAAAAAAAAAAAAATTTTTTTTTTAAATTAAACAAATTTTTTTTTTAACAAAAAAACAAAATTTGTTTAATTTACTGTTTGTATTTTGAGAACGATTTCCGAAGTGGAAATTGAAACGTCAATAAACGTATTTTTATCTTTAATTGTGGCTTATTCCCAGATTAATAGTAATTAATTCACATAACCATAAATAATATAATAGTAGCACATAACATAGTTATAAACATTTTAAATATTATTAAATAAAGCACAATAAGGTAAAAAAATGTTAAAAAGTAAATGTAAACAGTATTGTTCTAAACATATGCACGACAATGCAGTAATTACTTATCGATCAGAAGGAATAACTATGCACTATTTTCCTCGTGGCAAAAATCTACAAGATCATTGGGCACAGGAATTAAAAATTGGGAAATCGATATCAAGTGATATGATCGTGTGTTCACATTTTTTATTAACAGATTTGTTTTCAAGTAAATTTGCTGAACAGAATTGCAACATTTATTAATGTGCCTACATAACCTAGTCAAATATATACACTAACATAGATCTTATTTAAAATTTCTATTAACTGCAGCGGGGCATAAGAAACTTTCACAAGAAAGGTGTTATTCCCTCTCAATGCCTTCTAGGAGGAAAACTGGTGTGAATTCTAGACTAATGCGTAATAAAACTAACGCACATTCCTCCCTGGCGGGCTTTACCACCCACTCGTCTCTTAACACATCCACAGTGATTTCATGTGGGGCACCATTTAAATTAGTCGTTTGCAGATACAAACCGACTAATTTGTTATTATATTTGCCACACAACACAACGTGGCCAGCCTTTAATAAGGCCTCGCCTTCTTTTAAAGCTTGTGCTATATAAAATATGGAGCAGACTAACTTCAATTTCTTTATTTGCCATTGCGTTAACAAAAAAAATGAAAGATAATAAATACGGATAATTTTTAGACACAACAATCATTCACCTACAAAGATTATGGTAGCTCTGTTTTGTTTTCCTCATGTTTTGCTACGTGCGTGATCAGCGGATCATCTGTCAAAGCGCCCGTTATAGTTTGTTGACATCGCCATTAGCAACAACAATCATCATGTTCTGGGCTATGCGAAGGACCTTTTCATCTTATCATTCTGCCTTAACAACTCGACGTGGGTCCTAGCTTCCACAAGAATTTCATTCCAGTCGTCCCTATTCATCGACTTCCTCTGCCAAGCATATTTCTCATGTCTTTCTCATAATCAACTAAAAATACTTATTTAATAAATATTTCTTTAAAAATTTATAAACAAGTACGTATGACCTAGAATATTTATTATAAGTCATTGTTGAATCTCTGTACGAAAAACATGGCGGCTGGTGAAAAGGCCTTTTTGAAGCATACAACCATCGAGCAATAAGACAAAAGAGGGAATCTAATCGTTATAAAAAGGAGACCAAAAAAGTGGCCTCTGATGGCGGACACATCCGGAAATGCAAAGGCGCTAAATTTAAATTTTCCAACACTTGTTAACAATAGCTGTAAAATATTTTTCAGACAAGAAAGTTTTAATTAAATATTAACGATAATAGTCTAAAAATTGACTCAATTGGTAAAAAACTTCAATATAAATAAAATTTCATGTGACAGTTGGGACAAACAATAACATAACCAAACTAAATTTGACTTCTTAAACAAGGATAGAGACTGTCTATCCTTGTCTAAAGTGGCCTCTCAAGATGGCACTTCCTGTCTATCAATATGTTTACCCCTTCTACCTTTACATTCCCTCTTTTGTCTTATTGCTCGATGCATACAACATATACATTATAAAAAACATGGCAGCACTGCCAAACCGAAATTTGTTTGACATTTCTGCGGCTTGAGCTTGTACGAGCTTGTATTCCATTCGCCTTAACCTAACTCTTGTCCGATTTTGCTTTTTGGGTGTAAAGATAAAGCTGCAATTGTTTGTTACATAAAATCAAATTTAATATGGAAATAAAACAAGAAGTTAGTGAGAAAACTTGTAAATTAGAAATAGATAATGACACGTGTGTTATTCCTTTGGATACCTTCAAAATTGAAATTAAAGAAGAACCAAAGACAGAAACTGCTTACCAAGCATTTGATTATTTAGACTTAAATGAATTGACTGTAAACACTGAAGTAGAAGGTGAAGATAAATTTATACCGTTTGAAGAAAAGCAAACAACAAATGAAGAAAGTAAGTAAATATCATATATAAACAAATAGAGAATATATATTTTTTATATAATAAATGTTTAATGAATTATAGAGATTGAATAATATGATGTTTATGTTGGATGTACGGTGAAAATAAGTTGATTTGGCCTCACTTATCATCATCATTCTCCAAACATCTCTATAGATGTTTGGATCTCTATCCAGATAGAGATGTTTGGAGAGGTTTAATGAAGGAGGCCAAGGCCCGGCGGACTTCTTCAATATTGGTGCAATGAACATAACCTGGCATCCAGCTATATGTTTGTGTGACACAGTGTTGCCACTTTTTTTTGTATAAAGTATAGGAGTGTTTAAAATAGATACTTTGACGAAATTATATATGCTTTAAAAAACTTATACAGAAGTAAAATGCTTCACATTTGTATTTAGGTATATACTTAGGTAAATGTGAAGTGTTTTACTTCTGTAAAATGTAAAAATGTACACGCCACAGCCACAATTTTTGAATTCATATTAAAAAGCATTCATAAAATAGTATTTTTTATTTTAAATATAGCTAAATACTTTTGTTTAACCTAATTTTTTTTCATTTAACTTTACTTTATTCTGTAGTTTATAAAGTTTCTAAACTATTAATTTTTAAGCATAATTTTAATGGTTTTTATTATATAAGTATTTTTAAATGTAGAAATGCAAGATATAATTTTATTTTATAATATTTATAGGTATAATTTTAATGAATTATATACCTATGTATTTTTCACATTACTTTGACGAAAATATATATGTTTTAAAAAACATTTTGTTTTAAAAAACATAATAATTTTATATGTGAGAGTGGGAAATATTTGAGTATATGGCAACACTGACGTATATTAAGCTTACATTTAACGTCAAACATATCAACGAGGTTATGTTCATTGCACCAATATTGAAGAAGTCCGGCCCGGCTTGGGCTGTAGTGCCATTGGATGGATGGATCATCATCATTCTGGCTTTACAACCCTATGTGTTTCCTAGCCTCCTCAAGAATTTCTCTCCAGTTGTCCCTATCCATTACCTTTCTCTGCCAAGCATGTATTTCCATATTTATCATGTCTTCATCAATGTTATCAAGGAACCTTGTTCTTAACCTCACTTACCTAGAGGCATAAGTCCATCCAGAAAATGTTATAAGGTAACTTTTTTATTGTGTAATATTGGATTAAAAACACGATATCAAAGGAATGAAATACAGTAGGCTCCCTCTATAACGAGAACTGAAATGGCAGACTAATTACCTCGTTATAAGCCGATCTCGTTATATCAAATAACAATAATACTGTGCATACATATGAATATGTAGTTTTCTAAAACATTAACTTATTGTCAATCAAATACATTAAAACAAAAATGAGTTGTTTACTTTTATTGTCAATGATATATGTTAAAACAAAAAATTGTATTCTGTAAATCTGTATAAAGCATATTTTCAAGGATAGCATAAACTATTGCTTCTGCAATTGGAAGAAGTCTGTAATTTTTGACTGCTTTAAATTGTCCAGTATTCTATCTATCATATTTTCTAAAGATGTGAAACAGTTTTATGCTTCTTTATTTGCGTTTTGTCTTTGGATAAAGTTCCTGACAACACTTAAAACACTTTCCACATCTTGTCTATTAGGACCTATATTATTAGGTGCGCATGATCAACCTCCTACAATGACACTTGTGAATCATAAATTGTAAATTTCCAAGTTAGAATCATAAATTGTAAGAAGTTTATTGCAGCAGTTAAAAGGGGTATTTATTTATAGACACAGCCGGACCAAAAACGTAAAAAAACACATGTTTTTGAATTATATTTTCTCTCGTTATAACCAAATTTGTCTCGCTATAGAGGGTTATAGTTCAATAGAAATTTCATGAGACATCTAATGGACCTCGTTATAATCGAAACCTTGTAATAACTGTGTTCATTATAGAGGGAGTACACTGTATCTATTATACATTTTTTGTCTATTAGTGTTTGTTTATAATATCAATAATTTAGATTTTTATAAATTTCAAGAGAAA